TGATGGACGGGAGGCTGGGAGGGGCCTGTCGGTGTCCTTGTGCGGGGGGGCGTCAGGGGGAGACTCGGGGAGCGGGTCCGGGTCAGCGTGTCTCTAACCTGCTCTCAGGAAGAGCGCAGATGTGCCCCCTGTTGGGGACCATGGACCCCACTTCCCCTGCCTCTCACACAGCGGTGCGCGCGCCATGGGCTCTGACGGGATCTGGGGCCACAGGTCAGGCTGAGGCCACACAGCCAGGGGGAGCCCAGCCCAGGGCGGCCACAGGGACCACTGCCTGCTGCGGGCACAGGGGCCACCGCCCACCCCTGAGTCCCCTGGCGTTGGTCCTGGCCCGGGTGGAGGGAGGGCAGGAGGGTGCACTTCTGTGTCCCCTGCCACCCCCGCCCCTGCCCAGTGCTCTCCGCCAGCCCCAGCCCCTCAGGGTCACCTGGTTGGAGTCAGAGCCTGGCATGCGGTCGCCTGAGGGGGGAGCCTCAATTCGGGTCCAGATGCATGAATGTTGGGGGGCTTGGGGTTCCCTGTGGATGGAGGGGCGTGGTCCCTGCTGCCCACCAGACTCTTCCCGCGTGGGATCCTCGTGTGGGAAGAGCGGCAGGTGCGGGGGAAGGGGCGGGAAGAAGGGCCGGCTCCAATTCTGGGAGCAAAGAGCTGAGGCGGGGCCTTCTGAGTGCGCGGGGGCGGCAGGTTGGGCTGGAGAACAAGTGACAGGCAGGAGGGCGGGTCTCTCACTGAGTCTGTGCGATGGGAGGGCTGTCCCTCCGCTCACCCAGGTCTCTGCTTCTCCGACTCCATCTGTGTTCCCGCCATTCAGCTCTGTTCCCCCGGGACCCCCTGGAGTGAGCATCGCCCCCAGGGCAGGGCTCTGTCCCACAGGACCCCCCCCTCACCCCTCACCCAGGGCTCAGGCTCCTGTCCACAGGCGGCCTGCCCGGCTGACCGGTGTGGCTACACTAGTGAGGGCTCCCCACCCAGTTCGTGATTTGCTGGATGAACTCAGGGCCCTCAGGGAAGCGCTGGCTCACTCTCACCCTTTATCACATGGACCTGAGTGAGCAGCGAGATGAAGGGGACAGGGGGCGAGGTGGGGGAGGGCCCCCAGTGTAGGGGCCTCTGTCTCGGGGACTCGGCATGTGTCACCCTGTCCCCTCCAGCATGTGGGTGTGGTCACTGCTGCAGAAGCTCTCTGAGCCCCATGGTTAAGGGCTTTTTATAAAATCTTCACAACGTGGACATCATTGATTGGATCATGGGCCATTGGTGATGGAACTTGAACTCCAGCCCCTGTTCCTACTGGTTAGGCCCTGAGTCTGAGAGTTCCAGCCCTGTGATCAGCTTGGTCTTTCTGGGGACCAGCCCCCTCCCTGAAGCCTCCAGATCCTCAGCCAAGAGCCACCTCATTAGCATCCCACAGGCACCTGTCACTCAGGAGAAGCCCAGGGTTTCAGGAGCCAGGGGCAGAGACCAGACCCTGTGTCTTACTAGGCCCTGAGTCTGAGAGTTCCAGCCCTGTGATCAGCTTGGTCTTTCTGGGGACCAGCCCCCTCCCTGAAGCCTCCAGATCCTCAGCCAAGAGCCACCTCATTAGCATCCCACAGGCACCTGTCACTCAGGAGAAGCCCAGGGTTTCAGGAGCTCAAGGCCAGGAGCCAGGGGCAGAGACCAGACCCTGCGTCTTATCTCAGGGCAGAAATCAGGAGAGGAGGGTGGTTCCAGGAGGGGACGTGGGACTGGGGTGGGTCGTCCCATCGGGCAGGACAGGCGATGCCCCACCTGTATCTGAGCTGCTTCTGCTGGCTCTGCTGGGCTGGGCGGTGAGGTGGGGGACATGTGATGGGGGTGTCCCAGGGCGGGATTCCCGCCAATGCTGGGCTTCCTGCACCTCTCTGTGTCCTAGAGTCCCCGACAGTGAGGGACCCGAGCACGGGGTTCCCTGTGGAATCTGAGCCAAGCCTGGGTGACGGGGCCAGTGAGCTGCTCAGCCATGTGCGTAGGGTCTGCTCCTTTCCTCAGCCTGAGGGAGGTGTAGGCCCAGGTGTGGGTGCAATTGGGCAATTGATGAAATTGATGGGCAGACGTTGGGTTATAACTTAAAAATTCTGGCATAAAATAAGATTCAATCACACACACACACACACACACACACACACACACACTCACACACAGAGAGAGACATTCACTGAGAATCTTAATCTGTGTGGTCATGGCCTTATGGTATGAGGACCATGTGTGTTCCTTCCTGAAATCCTGCAGGGGTGGCCTTGTCTCTGTCTCCCTGTGAGGTTGGGGCTCTTTGCTCTCTGTGTGTCTCCTGTACTGTGAGTGTGAGCGCTGCTTTGTGTGCATGAGGCAGAAAAGGGAGAGAGAGAAATCCCTAGAGAAACTGTGTCCATTGGTCAAGTCTCAGGAGTAGTTTGCATGGCGAAACATGCCAGGTATGTTCTTCCCATTGGACATTGTGATGTTTTATCCTCTCATCCCAGGTCGCCATAGATGATCCCACAAGGAAACCAGTCACATCTCCCACCACCGTGGCCTCTGCTCCTCCTATGAACTCTGTGTGAGGACTCACATGTCCCAGCCATGTGAGCACAGTGAACATGAAGAGCACATGGTGCTCACAGCACCCCTGACTTCTGTTCTGTATTCACGTCCACGTTCCTCTCTCCCAGGAGGAAGCAGAGGTGCAGAGTGGGAAGCAACATCCCCAGGCGGCACTGAGCTCACTCCTGAGTGACCTTGACACCAGGTCGGAGCTGTGTGGTCCAGAGGTCTGAGTTCCCACCCCCTGCCCGGTGCTCCTCCCCACGGTCCTGTCACCATCCCGTGTCACAGATGAGGGAACGGGGTCCTGAGAACTCAAGGCCAGGGTGCCAGTGTCCTGAGCCCGCGAGGGGGAGGTGAGAGGAGGAACAGAACTGGAGGTGCAGGAGCTGAGGGTGATGGGGACTCACTGTCCCCTTCCCGTGCCGCCTGCACTGCAGTTTCATAAGCTGCACCCACTGCTCCTGAAGGGAAAGGACATTTGGTGACTCTGGGATTTTTAAAAAACTGGAGTGTCTCTGCTTGTACTCGGTCATGGCGTCAGGGGCCTATAGAGGAATGAAGACCCTGCCTCTGATGGATGTTCCTCACTGAGCCCACCCATGTCCATCTTAGGGCTGCATCTGAGGGACCCTTGTTACCTATAATAATAAAGCTAATTAGACAGACAGCCAAACGACCTTCTGGACGTCATTCCAGAGGACCTCCCAGATGAAGGTGCAGCAGCGGGGGGCCGAGGCAGAGGCGGTTAGGGGCGATCAGGAAGGCCGGCAGAGTGGTTAGGGGCAATGAGGCAGGCAGGCAAAGTGGTTAGGGGTGATCAGGCAGGCAGGCGAGTGGTTAGGAGCCAGCGGTCCCAGATTGCAAGGGGGATGTCTGACTGCCTGAGCAGGATCCTGCTCAGGCCTAAATTGGCAGTCAGACATACCCCAGGCATTCCTGATCAGGAAAGGGTGCAGGTGAGCTGATGGACCACCCTTCCCGTGCACAGATTTTGTGCACCAGGCCTATAGTTTTGTGCACCAGGCCTATGTGGACATCATTGATTGGATCATGGGCCATTGGTGATGGAACTTGAACTCCAGCCCTTATCCCCGCTGGTTGGGCCCTGAGGCTGAGAGTTCCAGCCCTAAAGTTTACTCATAAAAGCCCCCACAGCTTTGATGGGACGCCTGGCATATTCTGGGTGAAGTGGAGCTCAGAGCACCAACCTGATGCTCCTTCAGGGAGACAGTGGGCAGAGAGCGCCCCCTGCAGGAGGAGTGGCAGGGCCCAGTCCCAGGCCCAGGCCTGGCTCTCAGGTCTCAGCCCCAGGGAGGAGTCTGGAGCAGAGCAGCTCAGTGTTGGGGACTCCCCTTCTCCCTGGGGTTTCCCTTCTCCATTTCAAATTCCCTGTTGAGTCCTCCTTCCCTGATACACATGACATGCCTCACTGCTCACTCCCATTGGGTGTCTGGTTTCAAGAGAAGCCAATCCACCTTCCATGATATAACCTCTCAGAGGACCGCCCAGACTCAGATGGTCCCAGGACACCAAGGATGCGGGTCGTGAGGTCCCCCACCCTCCTCCTGCTGCTCTCGGGGGCGCTGGTCCTGACCCCCAGCTGGGCCGGTGAGTGCGGGGTCAGAGGGGTCGGAGGGGGCTGCGGTGCGGGGAGGGGCGGGGGGTCCAGCCGCGGCCCTGCCCTCCGTCCGCCCCCCAGGCCCCCACTCCCTGAGGTATTTCTACACCAGCATGTCCCGACCCGGCCGCGGGGAGCCCCGGTACCTCGAAGTCGGCTACGTGGACGACACGCAGTTCGTGCGGTTCGACAGCGACGCCCCGAATCCGAGGATGGAGCCGCGGGCGCCGTGGATGCAGCAGCCGTGGGTGGAGCGGGAGGACCCGGGGTATTGGGACCGGCACACGGAGATGGCCAAGGGCCACGCACAGCTTTTCCGAATTTATCTGAAGACCGCCCTCGGCTACTACAACCAGAGCGAGGACGGTGAGCCAGGCGCCCGGCCCGGTCACGCCTCCCCTCCCCCCCAAGAACAGGCCGGGGTAGGCCCGAGGGTCCGGGTCCGAGCGTCACCCCGAGACAGAGGACCTCCCCGGCCCCCACCCGGGAGGAGCCCGCGGGGATTTTGACCCGATTTCACTTTCAGTTTTAGATTCAGTCCCCTCGAGGCGGACAGAGGGCGCTGCACCGGGGGAGGTGGGGGGGCTGGGCTACTGTAGGGGGCAGTGCTCACCTCGGGGCGGGGTAGGGTCTCATTCCATCCAGTGGATTAGTGCCTGCGACGTGGGACCCAACGGGCGCCTCCTACGCGGGTACGATGCTTATGCCTACGATGACAAGGACTACCTCGCCCTGAACGAGGACCTGACCTCCTGGACTGCGGCCGACACAGCGGCTCACATCACCCAGCGCCAGTTGGAGGCAGCGGGTGCCGCAGAGCTTACCAGGCGCTACCTGGAGCGGGAGTGTGTGAAGTGGCTCCTCCTGTACCTGGAAAAAGGGAAGGAGACCCTGCAGCACAGGTACCTGGGGCCCTGGGGCCGCCCCCTCTCCCCGGGGCTGGGGCTCCTACAAGGAAACAGGACAGGGGATCAGTGTCAGACACCCCTCCTTGGGGTCAGTAGGGAGTCCCCCTGGATGTCAGGTCAGGTACCAGAGGGACCCCCCTTCTCTCAGGAACAGTTAGGGGTTCTGGGAGACCCCCCTGAAATAGCCCATCAGCGGTTTTCATGGCCCTGCAGGGACTCTGGGAACCTCAGGGACCTTCTCTCTCAGGCCTTGTGCGCTGCCCACACCCACTGTGTCTGAGGCCTGGCCCCAGCTTTTCGGAGACATGTGGTTTCCACCCAGAACAGGACCAGAAATCCCTTTTCTCCCCCAGAGACCTGCCTCCTGCCCTGGGCTGTGTCTCTCTGATGCTAGAACTTTCTAAAGACTAGGAGATCCTCTCAGGTGCCTCTGCCCAGGCTGGTGTGTGGGCTGTGTGCTCCCTCCCCCACCCAGGTGGCTGTCCATTCTCAGGATGGTCACATGGGCGCTGCTGGAGTGTCCCATGGCGGATGCAAAGTTCCTGCACTTTCTCTCCTCCCCTCAGACCCTCCAAAGGCACACGTGACCCACCACCCCATCTCTGCCCGTGAGGTCACCCTGAGGTGCTGGGCGCTGGGCTTCTACCCTGCGGACATCAGCCTGACCTGGCAGCGTGACCGGGAGGACCAGACACAGGACATGGAGCTGGTGGAAACCAGGCCTGCGGGGGACGGCACCTTCCAGAAGTGGGTGGCCGTGGAGGTGCCCCCTGGAGAGGAGCAGACACACACGTGCCATGTGCAGCACGAGGGGCTGCCCGAGCCCCTGACCCTGAAATGGGGTGAGGAGGAACAGTGGGCACAGAGCCTCTTCTCAGGGCAGCAGGGCCCTAGGGGACCTCAGTGGAGTCCGGGCTGAGGCCTGGGGTCACGGCCCTCACCCTCCCTTCCCTTCTCCCCCCAGAGCCGCCTTCTCACACCTTCATCATCATCATGGGCATCGCTGGGGGCCTGGTTCTGCTGGGAGCTGTGGCTGGAGCTGTGAAGTGGAGGAGGAGGCGCCCAGGTGGGCAGGGGTGGGGTCAAGTGTGCACTCTAGTCAGTGACAGCGCCCAGGGCTCTGATGTGTCTCTCTCTGCTTCTAAAGGGGAGACCCTGCCATGGGGAGGGGTAGGCAGAGGGGAGGACTGGGTGTGGGGAGTCTGTGGGGCACTGTGAGCATGAAGTGGCCTTTGAGAATGTCACCAGTTACAGCCACTGACCTGAATCTGTTCATGATGATTGTCCTCCACAGCGTGAGGCAGCTGCCTTGTGGGGACATAGTGATGGAAGATGTGTTCACGCTCCCACTTCCTGACTAAAGAACCTCTGATGGGGGGCTGACCCCGCCCTGCTCCCCACACTTTCTGGTCCAGCAGAGGCGGGCTGGGCCCTCACTCTCTCTGTCTTTAGTTCCTCATATTCTGATCTGCAAGCTGTTCCTTCCGCATTGAAATGAGGTTGTGGATATGACTTTGTTCATTTCTTGCCATGAAGGGTTGGTGGGTAAATTCAAGGGGAAGATTGTAAATTTTGAGGGGAAATAAATATAAACACCAAGAACTTTCCAGAGCTCATGTGTTTGCTCTGCTGAGCTGTCCCAGGTGTGGACAGGAGATGTTTTGAAGACCGAGTGTGGTCGGTGCCTGTGCTCAGGTGGTGCTCAGTGCATCGTGGGCTTTGACATGGTCACTCCTCGGCTGGGTCACCTTGCTGCTCCTCTGACCTTGTCCCTCAGTAGAACCTTGTCCCTCAGTAGAACCTTGTCCCACCAGGACCTGTGGTCACTGGAGCTCAGACATCACTGAGGCCTTGAGTGTCCTAATGCAGCGCATCTCCAGAACCATGGACAGCGAGGCCTTCCTGGGGTTGGTCGCCTGAGCTCAAGTCCAGGGTCCCACCCTCCCCCCTCATCTGGTGGGTGTTTGTTGTTTCTTTTTTAGTAGATAGTATGCCTGTTACTGCTTTTGTGTCTGAGCTTCGGTCTCATTGTCTGGGTGTCCCCATCTTATAGCAACAGGAGGCATTTTGCCCCTCATGGTCCCACAGGCCCAGGGCTCCCTGCACACAGGACCCCACGGTGTGGAGAGATGGGTGTTCAGGCTCCTCCTGCTCCTGCCTCCTTCTAAGGCCCTGTTTTCCCCTGTCAGCCCCTCCCTGCTGCTCCTGAGGGGTCCTAGAACTCCTGGGTTCTGAAATCACAGTTGAGATGAGAAATATGTAGACATCATCAATAATGATCCTTATTCGGTAATCATTTCGTCAATACAATTTATCTTATAAAATCCACAACAATTAATGTGAAATTATTGCTGCCCTGGGCGATGTTAAAGTCTATTTCTAATCTAAGGAGGTTAATAAAGTTGCATGGAATTATTCAGGAAAAACGTTTCCCTTAGAACAGTGCAGCTGTTGAAACAAGTCTCTCTTTTGGTAACGAATAATGAAGATTTTATGTAAATTTAACCTCAGGGTGGATATGAGCAATATCCGCCTTCCATTGCACAATTCTGATGTTGGACTTGGGTAACATCCCTCCTCCCTCAGTGGAGATGTTATTTTCTAGAGGAAGATAAACATATTGGAGAATGAAGGGTTGTTTTACCCATTTTCTGTATGTTTATTCCATTCCTATTTCTGTGAGATTCTGGCGTGTTACAGAGAAAATCAAGGTAGGAGCTTGGTTTTCAGTGAGCTGCTTCTCACACTTGCATGTTTTTACACGGCTGACCCTCTAATATGGCAGATGGGATGGATAAACGCTGTTAGACAGTGTGGAAGGTGCCAGGTATAGAGTTGCCACTTGGGTTTCTATTTCAACACTGAAATGTAGACACGGGGTTCTGCTCCCACTCAGGGTGAAACATGAGCTTTGCCATCTTGGGGTCCATCTCCGCTCCCAAGGTCAGTGTCCCCCTGGCCCTAGCCGGTGTCTCCATGGTGCATCTCCCGCACAGTCACCCCCTGGCCTGGGCACCTTCTTCCCTGCAAGGTCTCCCCGTGCGATCCCCTGAGACCAGAGGCCCCACAGCACCCTGACGCTGGCGGCCCCGTTACCACTGCCACGTGCTGCCCTCCATGGCTGCTCTCTGTGTCCTCGCCTCAGGGGACGCTCACGTGGCTGACGCAGACCTGCCATGTCCTGCTTCCTGCCTCCTCGCTCTGTGTCCCTTGCTGCTGATTATAAGGGTCATGGAGCGCCTGGGACCCTGTGCTGCTGG